TTCTTCTTATCTCCCGTCTCTCGTTTGTTTTTCTTCCTTTGGTCCATCACTTATTCGACAGATAGTTATTTGTCTGTGTAGATTTTCCACATCAGGACATGGACCCTTTTGATGTATACATAATTAAAGTCCTTCTAACTGACACGTTGCACTTGTTGTCCTCACAAAAGGAACTGTTACCAATTAAAGAAAAACGCTGTTGCAAACTAAGCACTGGCGAGAAAAGAGAAGCACTTAAAGTTATATACACAATCTGTTTTTCCCCCACTGATACGTGACGTTCATATTTGGCTGTTGAGCTGTTAGAAGAGGATCCTGGTGGCTTCTAAGGTCCTTTCACATTTACTGGGTTCTCATGGTTACTTAGCTCACTGCTGTATCCTCAGACATTTATGTTCTATAAATAGTCAGACATTTTAGAAAAATGCTTTTTTGTTTTCTAGCTTAGCATTAGAGGAAAAGACATATCAGTCATATAGGAGGCTCAATGCTGGGTTAGGGATTTAGTCGTCACATTGAGGTTACCAGCAGAGACATCAACAACATTCTGCTCCTTGTTTTATTAATGCTGCTGGGCAGAATTTCTATCCATCCATCCATCCGTCTTCTTCTGTCTGTCTGGGCTCAGCTCACAGAGGTAGCCAGCCAAGTAGGATATCCCAGTCATCCCTCTTCCGATGCTATTGAGCCCTGAGGAATCCTGGGATCCTGAGGAATTCCCAGACCAGATGGGATATGGAGTTTCTCCAGAGATTCCTGGGTCTACCCCGGGGTCTCCAACTGGTTCGGACTAGTGGCCAAAACCACCTGAACCGACCCTTTCGACACAAAGGAGCAGGGGTTCACTATCTCCTGATTGAAATGTGAATGTGATCTCATCTAACACCCAGTTACAAAGCAGCAACTTTTAAATTCCAAACAAATTCTCAAACAACTATTAAAGTTGGTATCCGTCCAATGAAACTTTTTTCTGCCAGCGAGCAGCTCTTCCTCCAACGAGCCTTTGAATGACCAAAACTTTATGGTAAAAAAGAAAAGAGGGCGGTAGCAGCAGTTTCTAACATCTGAGCCAATAACTCACTCCCCCAGCAGCAGAGCAGAAGTTCTGGCTGCAATGAAAAGAGTTGTTGATGTAGACGAGCAGACAGACACAGGCACAGATTCAGAGAGGGGTGCAGACAGGAACACAAAAAAAATAGAAGAAATAAATAAGAGTGGGAGAGAAGAGCGGGGGAAGTGTAAGCAGAGAGAGAACTCTATAAATTGTGGCCTGATGCAGGGCTGCAGGAAGGGGTGTAGCAGCCTGATGAATAGAGCCATCAGCCTAAGCAGAGGCTACAGAGCAGCCTGCCATCTGCCTGCCCATTACTAGAATGGAGTGCATGATGGTCTCCTCTCATCTGCAGGCCCCACTGGCATCGCTGGCAACCAGGACCCTTTCTTTATGTGCATGTGCATGTGTGATCACTCTCAACTCGGGGACGACGTGTCCTCTAGATTTAACCATAACTACATTTTCTCTTGTGTTTTTTAATTTGTGCGGTTAAATGCATTTGTCAAGCGCTGGTGTTTGTTTGAAGCACATGTCGGTTTGCATGTGTGTGCCCAACAAGGCGAGGGTGGCCCTCACAGAAGAGCTACAGCGGCATGGCAGACGAATTCACACCTCATTGGCAAACAAGGAAGGCCGATCACCGCCAGCAGATCCACCCCTCAGGCTGCCGTCCTATTCTTCAGTATCCTTGATGATTTAGAGATGGTGAGGGGGGGAGAAGAAATAGTAAGGAAAGAGCAGAGGGAGAGTGAGACGGAACAAAAGAACAAAAAACGGGAGTAAATGCAAACGCTAGAATAGTGATAGACTGTGCAGAGACACTGAAAGGCACAAAGAGACGTGCAGACGGATAAGAGCCGGGAAGCGAGTGTGGGGAAAAGTTAAAAGGGAAAAGCTTTTTTCTTTTTTTCTTCAGAGAAGGTCATTAAATCAAATGTGATTAATCATCATGGTGGAGGATGTTGCCTTTTGTGTTGCAGAGTTGAGTGCATTCTGCTTTTCAGCCTCTTTCCAGAAAACAGAGCCAATATAGAAGTGACGAATGATATAAAAAAAAAAAGAATGAAAATGAGATTGGAGCTTTATCCTCATTGCTTCATGCAGCTCAGTACAGGACCCGGTGCTGGTGGGAGCCACGAGAATTCCACTGTGCACACAGAGACAGATGGTACGGAACACTTAAAGAGACACGCAGAGCTACACTGACAGAAGGCGATACCAATAACTGTTGTAGCTCGCAGTATGGGTAGAAGTGCAGAGTTTAAAGTCTTAGAGTAAAGCTAAGGATATGATATGAGGTGGTTAGATTGAACAGAATAATCTGGAATGGCTCATAGTCAAATGCAGACCTCCACCATGGCCTGATACTAAACATTCCATAACATTATTGTTATTGCCTGGGAAGTTGGTAAAAAAAAAAGAATTGAATGGTTTCATTCTTCTCATCCTTCCACCAAGTCTTGTGGAAATCCATCAGGTAGTTTCTGCATAATACTGCTTACAAGCAAACAGACAGCGATGGAAACATCAGAGAACTCTCATATTTGTATTTATTTCCAGACGCTTAGAAATTCATGTTGTTATATTTTAGTTGAAATGTTGGTTTATATATTTGAAAAAATAATGCCGGCATCTACCAAAATGAAAAAAGAATGTGTGTGTCTGAAAACACAGATTTAAAGCTTTAAATTCCAGTTGTATTACATTGAACTACACAAAGTTTGGCTCATTTTTATTTTACCTCTGGAAATGATGTTTTAACCTTCTCTTGTTTGTTGGTAGGTTAGTCGGCAGGATTACGCAAAAAAACAACTTCCTTGAAACTTGCAGGAAAGGAAAAAATGTTATTATAATTTTTTTTCTAACTTTCGTGAACATTGTTAGAAGGGATGTTTATTGACATTTTTCATAAAAGTACCTGAAAATACGAACAGATTTTGTCTATGACTGTGTGCAATTAAGTGCAGATCCAAATAAAAGTCTGGATTCATGGTTTCAGAAGGGGCGCTTGGTGGAAGTATGTGTCATTCTACTTTCCCCATTTGTCTCCAAGAAGCTCCAAATATCCAGGGTGACTGAAATGTCATCACATTATTCTCCCAGTCACATTGTTTTCCTGCAGGTGCATGTGGGACTTCACTGAGACACAACAGCACCTGTACAAGCGCAGCACTTTTGGCATCTGCTTCACTCTGTAACTTTTTTTTGTGTATAAATGCATTTGTTCAAGTCATGAATTCCTCTGTTTTCCTCTTTCTCCACTGCCTCCATCATGCAGGAGCTTTGGGGACGCCTCAAGATCTGAGCCCTGATGCCACAGTGCAGCTTCACCTCAGCATTTAGGAGCCACTCAGAGCTCAATGACATCTCATCACTTACTGAGATAGAAAAAAGTATTTTTCTATTATTATTATACACTTATTATTCTTCACCTCCAAATGTCATCATTTCTACTACCTGATAAATGTAAGATCTTAACAGCGTCAGATGGCGTGTATATAAATTCCAGCTAATTTAGCACAACATTAAGTTTGAATTGTCTGCTGCTCCTCAGGCGATACATCAAACAAAATAAACAAAACGCTCCTTCTTTGTGACTTTAGAGGACGAATCACACCATCGACTCTACTTCTACGAGCTCTTCTCCAGTGTTTGAGCGTTTTAATAGAAGATTTATAACCTGAATAGGTTGTAGAGGTCATAGCGGAGGCAAGGTAAGCCCCATGTTGGGATCTCATGATATAATAATCATGCTTTTGATTATATGAAAGGGGATTTAATCTCGTTATGGACAGAATACAGCGTTAAATCACTTATCTTGGCTCAGAGGCACTGGGTCAGACAGAGGAGTCTGTGCTTGTATCAGGAAAAGTGGGGAAACAAGTGGGAAGAGACGTGGAGAGAAAAGAAAATGGGGCTTAGTCTGAAAACACCTGCCATGAACTCCAGCACCCATTATTCCTAACCTTTAGAACCCCCCTCCAACACACACACACACACACACACACGCTGTATAATAGAAGCCAACTCCTAAACCCTCAGAGACTCTAAAAGTCAAAAAGCAAAAGGACAGCTGACTGACAAACAGAGGGGGATTAGTCACAATGAATCACATGCTTGCACACACACACACACCACGTCTCTGTTGCTCTCTTGTTCTGTCCATCTCAGACACACAGACACAGACACAGACACACACACACACACACACACACACACACACACACACACACACACGTTCCTCTGATGCGGAATCGAGATAAAGTCTCGAATGTGATCACCTGCCTCCACATCAAACCCATATAAGCTCCTAAGGACTCAGAGGTAGGGGCAACACACACACACACACACACACACACACACACACACACACACACACACACAATCAAACCAAACACACACATACATAACAGTGTCTGTCTACCCTGTTAAACCCAACCCAGGGAGTCTGGCAGAGTGCAGACAGCGTGGAGAAGCCGTCTCCTCCAAGGCAACATTAGCCTGGGAGACTGAGCAGAGGAGAAACACACTCCAGAAAGAAAGACGGGAGGAAGACAGAGGAGCGGGGGAGAGGAAAGAAAATAAGCAGATAAGTGAAGAGAAAGAGGGACAATGAGCGGATAAGAAAGAGGTAGAGATCCCTCGCTCCTTTTACTGAAGAGCTGAGGATTCACAAGACGGAGCTAAATAAAGAAAGGCAGATAGAGAAACAGAGAGAAAGATGGATGATGAAGCAAACATCTGGGACGAATATTTTCCCCCAATGCTTCAGTCCCCCTCTCCTGGGCTCGTTCGCTCTGTTTGGAAAAATGTCGCTGTGACAACACGAAGGCCGCGTATCCATCAAAGATATACAACACTTCCTGTAATTAGCATAAAACACACACACACACAGACTTGAGAGATGGAGCCCACTGAATATTAATGGAGAAAAGTTCAACAACAGTTCCTGTATTGTTTCGTCTTTTATTTTCCTCTGATCAGACATCGTCACAAGTGTTGCTCTGGATGAAAACTCAACACGCGGATCGTTACATTATTAACGTGACACAATCTCACAGCGACAGATGCGAAGGAGACACAGATGGGTGTACGTGTGTATCTGCGTACAGGATAGTGCATTAGGAGCTGGTGGAAACACCGAATTAATGACAACAAATGAGGGACTGACATTAATGTGTAAAAATAGAGTAACGTTTTCTAAAGAGCAGTGGAGTGAGAGGGGATGGCTGGCGTTCTTGAGGTGGTTCTGGTTCATCTTTGTCCTTTTTAGCGTGCCAAGTTCAGGCCTGCTGGGTCCCGCGGGTCACCGGTGCGTCTCCAAAATGGCCGACAGTGTTGCTGTCTCTCTGCCATTCTCACAGGAGAGCTAGACGAAGGTTTAGAGAGGTAGGAGATAAGAGTTGAGGGGAAGGGCGTCTACTTCTCATTCAAGGTGCTGTGTTCAGTGCCTAGTCTGGCTCCGTGGCAGGGTTTTGAGGGTGTGTGTGTTTGTGTAGGTGCTGATTCATTCCCCTCCTCCTTCACTGCAGTTTGGTCTGTCAGTCAGTCGGTCGATAATCAGTAATCCCACACAATAGACTCTCTCTTACTTTCTCGTTTCTTCCTTAACCCCCGGTCCTCAACTTGTTCTGCAGACAAAAACAGAGCGGAAAGTGCATTAGATAGACAAGAGGGGCAAATGAAATAAAATCTAAATAGACAAAACAAGGAGAAGGGAAAGATAACATGTCAAACAGGAGAGACAAGACAGAGAGAGGCCTGAGAGAGTCCAAATAAATAAATAAGAGAAGAGGATGGAGTGAGTTTGAAAAGTAGAAAAAGGGCCGCAGGGCAGTGGATTTCATGTTAGAGATAAGTGCAAGCACAAATCCCCAGCACTCGCTGTCAATAACCATTTGAACCAACCTACAGCAGCTGATGCCTCTCTGTGAAAAAAAAGGATGAATGGCAGGAAAAAATAGAAGAATTAAGAGAAACAAGGGAGGGAATAAGGTAGAGTAAGAAAATATGTTCCTCCTCGCAGACCAACTTAATAATGGGGATTCAGTTCCATGTCAGTAACATTTCATTTCTGCAAATAAACAGAGGGTATCTCCTGCACTATTGATCTGACTGTGAAATGGTTATCAATAAAAACACTGTCTCCTAAGAGACCTACCTCACTGCAGAGCGAAGGTTAAGACATAGAAGACTTTGAAGAAAACACCGTTGATTCCATCTTATTACAACTTGGCTCATCTTGGTCACCATCATTTCCAGAGGAAAACACTGACTACAGTTCTGAGGTAACTGCTGAGATGTAGGAACGTGGCAGCATCAAATGGATGCCTACAGGGCTAGAAATATTGGAGACGCACTAATCCAATGCAGATGTGATCTTATAAAATATATCTTAAAGTAAAGGCGAAGGTGTGGAGTCACCTTAAAGCCATTTTTAAGGTAATTAGGGATTTGTTTTTTGGTGTTTAATCAATGTCAGGAGAGGAACTTTAAATTAAAAGTAAAAATATCTGCTTAGTCAAGATTTACTGACACAAGTGCTGAAATAACAAATTAAATCATAATTTATACTTAGAGGAGCACTATTGATTGAAACGCCGTCTATATTGAAGGTGATGTTGGCGCAGTTACATAAGGTCGCGGCTCCTTTTGCATTTCAATACTTGCAAACATAACACCTTTCCAAACCACAAACATGACTCAGACTTGGTCCTTTGAGAGAAAAAAGGAGATGGGTCAGTCTGAAAAAAATGAAGTGGAGAAGGAAAAGATAGGGAGCAGGAAGCGGTCATGCAGCGAGAATATGGAATGAGGAGCCAAGCAGTGGATGGAGAGATCGGCCCTCATGATAAACTCTTATTCACAGAGGGAGAAAGAAAGAAGAGACTTTATCTGTCCTTCCACTGCCTCTTCCTTACTGTTTGCTATCTGGACCTGTTAAGTGGTGAATGCATTAGAAATGTGACGAGGGGATGAAGGGATAGCAGATGGGGGGGAAGGTGGCAGGGGCACAAAAGAGAGCGAGCTTGGGTTTAAATGTTATCACTGACTGCGCCAATAAAAAGCCTAATTATCAGTGACAAAGGCAGAGCGGCTGAAAACGCCTGTTTCAGGTGACTCCAGTTGACTAGTCAATATTGTAAAAATGAGATTTAGGGTCGTTTGGTTTATATCCAGTGGGAGCTGGCGTCTCAGACATCCGGATCTGTAGCTGTGGTGCTGCTGGCTTCAGTCGAATTTAAAAAGTGGAGGGAGAAGGATGAGGGGCGGGCTCTTAAAGGGCACGTTTGGATCTTCTGACCTCCAGAGGTCAAAGTCACATCCCTTGACACGTCGTCTCGATGCAGCTTCCTGCCTGGCTGTGATAAAACTGTGTAAACATCCTAATCATCAAGCTGCATCAGCTCATATCAACACCACTTCATTCCCCCCCCCCCCCCGTTTTGTCAGCTGTGTAATTCTGCATATTATTCCTTTAAAGCCTTATCGCAGAACTGTTTCTTCTGCACCTAATGACTTTAAAAGCAAAAGCAAAGTCTTAGATAAGCGCAGATGAACAGGAGTGTGCCACGATTGCCGCAGGGTGATAAACACAAGTGGATTACCATATCGTCTCAGGCTTGCTTCCAAACAATTTACAAGATCATAACAGCATCCGTCCGCGAACGCACCGTTGCTGAATCCTGACGAGGCTACAGGTAGCGCACTCTCGAACGCGCGTACGACACACGCACACGATGAATAAAACATTGCACAATTTACATAATGTATAGCTTAAAAATCTGCCTGCATCTGACTTTGAGATCTAATACTAATACCCACGAGAGTGAGCGGCACACTGGAAAACTCCTCATTTCTGGCAAAACAATGCAATTCTAAAAAAAAAAATCTAATATAAAAGCTCTATGAATGTAAATTGAGCCTTTTTGGGGGGTAATGGATGTTACATATTGCAAAGTGAGAGAGGGGGAATCAAGTTAATATCAACCTGAGTGACATTACCATTACAACACAGTGGGTGACCACATGGAGGGGGGGGGGGGGGGAGTTGTACTTGACAATGAAAGGAGAAAACATGGAGAGGACAATGGTGTTCAACTAGCGGCGGCTACTCCTTTGGTTTTATTACATTAAAACACACACAGTGACAGTCAGGGAATGCCTGTGTCAGCAGATATTATGGAAATACAGCAGAAGGTTTAAACTATGTAGAATGAGCTTTACTCAGGCGCCAGTAGCCCTGTGGAAATGATATTCTCCTGTCTGAAAGCAAAGGGCTGCTGCATGTAAATGGATGCTAGTGTGTGTGTGTGTGTTTTTCATTTAGACATTTAAAAAGCAGACTGACTGTTCTACTGTAGATATCACACACATCTAAGCTGCCACTGGTGTTTTGCTAACACACACATGGGACTACTTTGTAATACAAACATCAATTCAACTGAAAGCTACACTACAGGATTAGGAAGCACTACAACTCACATATCTGTCCATGAGGGTGCATGCACATTCTTGTCATTCTTCAGAAAGGGGAAAAAATGCATTATTTCAGTGGGTTTTTATGGTTTAAATATTTTACTCACCTACATGCTCTTTCATTCCACTTAACAATCGTGCAATGCACATATGCAAAACATTCCTATGCAAACATTTCCAGCATAGTGCATCAAATTATGTTTAGATGAGATATGAAAAAGGCTTAGGCCGGTAAACACCCACCTGTTTCGAGTTGTTGACACACTGCAGGTAAAGGGCTGCAATGTTTGAGCAGTGGAGGGTTTTCCCGACATTCTCTTTGTAGCATGCGAGGATCTGGCCCTGCAGGTCTGCGCACACGGGATACATCTCATACCGCCTTCAGGGGTGAGAGAGGGGAGAGAGAGGGGAGAGAGGCAGCGTGAAAAGTTGTGGAACATGTGGTGTCAAAGAGGAAAAGGGGATGGGGCAGGAGGGAAAAAGGATGAGGGATGAGAGTTAAGGATCGAGTGTTAAATGTGTGGGAAAGAATCAAAAGGCACAATCAGGTGGATGATGGGTAATGCAGGTGGACAGAACAATTAGAACGAGATAAAAAGATTCATAAGAAGAAGAAAAGAAGACATATTCTTGGAAAATGGACGAATCAATGATCATTTTCTCTCAACAGAGTTCATGCACTGTTAGAGCATCCTGGTCTGCACTGGAGTCTACAGTGTGTGTGTGTGTGAACACCCCCTGTCATTTCTATTATTACTGTCATTCCAGCCCAAAACACTTTCAGCAAGAATCAGCACTGTATTTGCTGCGATGGGGGTCGGAGGTCAATCCGACCTGCACAGACTGCAGTGATGACCACGTCGATGTGTGCATTACAACAAATCGACAGGGAGGCCAGAGGGTTTTTCTAAAAATGGACAATAAGAGGCATCAAATACAGCTTCCAACAATGGCTGCTGCGCCTGAAAAAGAGGAGATCCATCAGTGCCATGAGAGGGAAGAGAAGAGAAGCTACCAATTTGCAATTTATTGTGCAATACAGAGCAAAACGAGAGTGATGGTTGAGTCTAGAAAAGAAATAAAGCTTACTGGGATGATGATAATGATGATGGGGTTAAAATTATAGGCAAGCTCAGTATACCTGCCTGCGCTGTCTTACCACTAAAAACCATTTAAAATGTGTTGTGGACGAGAGTATCGATCACTCTACAAGGCAGAATCCATCCATTGATTCAGAACAGCTCCCTGCAAGTGCCAACCATTTACAAACTGGGGAGCTATCACCTTGAACTGGTTTAAATGTCAAACTCAATCTTTTAGCATCCAAGAGGAGGTTGCTGTTATAGACTGTGAATGCAAATTGTCTGGTTATTGGCTACACATCACTAGCTTAGCACACTCCAAGTCTGTCCTTGAGGTCTGCCACGGCTTTCGAGCTGCAGTCTTAGCTGGTAAGCTCCAGATGCTCGTACTTCTAATGATGGATGCTATGCTAAACTTAAGTGCATCAAATGGGACTTTCGTTAGATGCAAGAGTCTGATCTTTTTAGCCAATCCAGGCAGTGGGAAGTACCATCAGCACTGGCACCAGTGTTAACTGCTTTTGTCTGTCTCTTCACACACCCCATAAAAATCCATAATGACAACACATGCACACGCTCGGGCTATTATGCTAATGGTGGTGTCATCGTTTTGTTCACACCAGTGCTCAGGACACTCCATCTGCCTCACTAAACACGCCTTGCATGGGTGTGAAAGAGAGAGATTTTGCCCGTCAGCAACTCGGGAGCTCTCAAAGGAATATTGGGGTCGAAGCCGAGCCCCTGTAGTCACAATCAGATGTTTGATTTGCCCCCTGGAGTGAGAAATTACCCCCCCATCGGATACAAAGCAGGGGATTGGTCGCATGGGTCATTACCCAGGGTGCAATGCAGCAGGAAGATGGTGGAACTAGGATGTGTACATATGTGCATCTCCACATGGTCATATTTGTTTGGGAAGGCTGGAAAAACCTACAGTCCATGTGAGTACAGGACAGTGACGATTAGTGGCAACAGCAACAGCTTATTGACTTCATCTTTCTTTTGCTGAGCTCAGTGAAAGCTGGCTGCTCCTTTAAGGAATAATCCGCTGCTCTGAGGGGGGCCTCCTAATGAAACGTGAGAATCTATGCAGTGGAAGGTAAGAATACTTCAACACCCAGAATGCACCAGGCTCAGCACCTTCCACATCCATTTCCAGATAACTCTCATTAGGCTTGATCTGAATTTTGGATATGTTCACAAATACTTTCAGCAGAGCAGCGGGCCATATACCGCTCGTCAGAGTAAGAACAAATTATAAGTCAACATCTAGTTAAATCGATAATTTCTTGTGTGCAAGGATTTGAAGAGGAAAAGTCTTGCAGGATTGAGCCATCGTCTGTTTCCAGTAAAGTATCCCAGCCATTGTAGGCAGTGGCTAATGGCAGCTATTACCGGAAACATGGAGAGAACACTGCAATGGAAAGTAAACTTAAATTAGTCTTCAGTTTGTAGTCTCCATTTCAAACTGAAGGGCTATGAACAGGGCGTTTCAGGCAAATCCCAGACAAACTGAAAGAAACTGCCACGGACGTGAGAGTGGTATTCATCTTCCCACCCTCTGCAAGGAAGCGAATAAACACACTTCCTAAAATGTCAGACTATTCGTTAAAACGTTGGCTGATTCCAGGGTGAGTCTACGCCTTGAAATAATTCCTGACATTTAGAACTTAAGCATGGACTGGGACATTATAATGCTGGGTGTGCAGAGGGTTCTGTGTTTGTGCATCCGTCGGGGGAGAAATTCAGTCATTTGCTCGGAGGCACGACAAGGCCATTGCTCTGCGTCGGTTATTGAACGATGACAGCGGCGCGAGGCAGGAATCGCTGCCATCCTATTCCTATGGATCCTGGCACTCATTTATTACAGCGCCTATGGGCATCTACAGGGACGAGAGCAGCCACATACACCCACTAATTACTTTCTTAAGCATCTGCGTTAATGCCAGGTGCATCCTGCTGATACAAACCCGAGTGTTTATCACCAGTAATGGCCTCAGAGAGAGAAAGGAGGTAACATGAAGGCAGGGAGGGAGGGAGGACTAGGGGGAGGTAGATAGAAATGAAGAGCATTTCTTGAAAAGGAACTAGACGGTGGTATTGCTTCTATTTTTTGCTTGCTCCCTGGTTCTCTCGGAGAGGAAGCGCCTCAGACCGTGGTTGAGTTAATCATGGAGACAATAACACTGTCACACACACTATCATCTATCATTAAGATTAACATTAAGTTCATGACGCCAACCACACGGAGCTGGTAGGGAGAGACTTCAGTCTCCCCCCTCCCTCCCCCTCAGTTCCACATTAGCTGGCCTTCCGTCATTTGCTGCAGAAACACGACTGTGGCGCTTTGCAGCAGGGCGAGCAGATGCAAATAGGACAGACACGTCGTATCGGTAATAGGCTACAAACACAAACTGTTTTTATGAATGAGAGTAAAGGATTTTTATGTACTCAGCAATAAAAAGTTGTGAGTGTCAATCTATCAGAGCAAAGTGATGTTAGTCTTCTTCTGTTAGTCAGTTGAAAAGTGGCCATTTTAAAGCTTATCAATACCTTCTGAAAAACAAAAACTATGCAAACTATCAAACAGCCCATGAAAAGAGACAAACTTTCAGTTGTTCATGATGAATTCTTATTAAAAAAGTCCCAACACTTAAATGCTCCTTAGTAAAAACACAGTAAATCCTTGCACTGTGGGAATCCTTGGGTATAATTATAGCTATAGTTGAAAACAACCGTGAATCATCCAGTTCCCATGTAACCTGAGGAGAGAGGCATTCATAAACAGAGTCTGTGCCACATTCCCAAAGCAGAAGTTTTGTTTTTCTTTACTGTGTTAAATGATGCACAGGAAATAAAATAAAGGGATGAAGGTCAGGGGAAATTTGAAAATGTTCAGTGTTGGTTCGTTACGACTGCTGAATTTAGAGTTTTGCTTTGCAGGTTAGTGTTGTTGGGTCAGTTATCAGTACAGAAGAACACTTCACTCTTTGTATTGGCCAGTTATTTGTCCATTAGTAGTGAGTACTACAGATTAAGACTGGATTGCTCTTCTATGAAACCTAATTTAAAAGCTTTTAGAGGCTACAGGATGTAAAACTACATATTTTAAAACACAAATGTAGAGAAAATCTTTTTTTCTTATCTCCCATACCAACCTCCAATTTCCTAATGTTTAATTAATACCAATACTGGTAAATACATTAAAAATACATCTTAAAAATGGCAATGATTCTTTATGAAACCCTCAAGAAATGTAATTGAGGCTTGATAATTTACAGTTAAATTAAACTCAATTGAAAATAACTAAATGAAAAAAAAAACCAAATATGTATATAATTAATATAATTTTGTTTGTAAAATTTATTCTGTAAAACATATCATTTCTTATTGGTTTGATTCAGTAAAAACATAAATGCTGAATATATCTGCTCGATCGATCAATACATTCTGGTAAAACCCTCAGGCTCTAGTGTGAAACTAGATATTTTACAAAACACTCAACATAGACACATAAACACACACAAATCTTATATAGCCTGTACACAGGTTATGGAACCAGAAAATGTCTAAAAAACAAAACGTCTCAATGATTCCCTCCCTCTATCCCTGGTGGTTCATGGGATATTTAATAAAACTCCATGTAGGAGGAGGGGACTGAAACAAACAGAGACATCTAAACCGATACAGTATTATTTGCACTCTGTGTGTGTGTGTGTGTGTTTGTGATGCACCCCATGTACCCCAGAGACAGTAAATCTAAACAGTCATATAGGGTTCCTGCCTTGTATCATTAGTAGCAGTAAAGGTTGCTATAACATCACCGTATCCAACCCAACCCCCATCACACACACAAGCACACACACTCGCCCGTATTGCCTGGATTCACTGATTGAGGGAGGAATGAAAGGGAGGAGGTTTGTTCAGATACCAACATTACCCTTCCTCAGCCCTGCGTCATGAATCATAAAGCAGACAGGGGTAAAGAACAGCGGACAGATGAGGGAGGGGGTTGCTTTATTAGAGACGGTGAGCCAGAGACCGCCAGTGGATGTTTGCAAGCCAGAGCACGGCACAATACAGCATAGAAAAGAAGCAGAGGGGCGTCCGTGGGGAGAGAGAATTGGAGAGGAGAGGTGAGAGAGAAGCAGAGGAAACTCTTAAAGCTCTCCTCTCACTTCCTTTGTAAAGTTTTCCTCCAGGAGAGGACAGAAAACGAGGTTGAGAGGAGGGGCAGAAATGATATGAGAGGGTGAATGTGTCCCATTTAACATGTAATAAAGTAGAACAGATTAAC